GGCGTCGAGGCCCGCTGGCAGGTGGAGAAATCCTGCAGCTCCGAGCTGCCACCTCTTCCCAAACCGTCGGCTCTCCGGGCCTCTCCCCATGCCACGCGGGCCCTCGGCCCGTGTCCCTCCTGCTCCGGCCCAGACACACAAGTTGCTAAACGTCTTGATACCAGGCCAGCTGGAGGGTTCCGGAGTGGCCCCATCCGGTCTCCTCACCCCTCCCCCTGCAGACAAGGAAAGGAAGCGCGCAGGCGGAGGCCGCCCAGGGTCACGCAGGCAGGCAGTCAGGGCAGGCTCAGCACCAGGTCACCTGACTCTTTATCTGGCTCTCTGGCCATGGCATTCTGGGCTGGGGAGAGATGGGACAGAGTTCCTCTTCCGACCTTCTGAGACCCTTTCATTTTTCAAGGCACACCCAACCCACTAAGGGCTGGAGTCCCTTCTGCTTGCACCTGTCAGCACGTGGGAAGGTTCCGGGAGGCTGAGGCTGAGCAGCACTGGGCACACATACACGTGCTGGCTTTGCTGGCCTTGGCCTGGACTCTTAATGTTCTGGAAACCAGCACCACTGGCTGCTAGAACAAATGGTAGGAGACGCTCGTTCCCGTCTGTCCCTTCAGCGAGCCCAGCTCTTTAAGACTCTCCATGATCCAGAGATGTACTTCTCACAGTGCTGGAGGGGCGGGGAGGCCAGTGCCTGGGAGAGCTCACCAAGTCATATTCCTCGGGGTCTGCTGCCATGCCCCGCATGCCATAGCGGTGTGCGTCCTTGGATAAGCGGTTGGCAAACTCCTCGGCAGTCCCTGTCTGGGAGCCGTAGAACACGACGATGTTCCTCCCCTAGGGAAGGCCAGACACGCGGGGTCAGTGAGGGGCCCAAGAGCCGCAGACTGTGCCCAAGGCTCCAGTAGACACACCAGGGGCAGGTCCGGCAGGTGGCTTCCCCTCGAGGGCATCCTTTTTAAGTCACTTTGGGGTTAGCATCTTACTGTCACAGGCATTGTGGGGGAGGAAGACACAAGTTACCGAGGCGATCTCACACATACGGCTGCACAAGATCATACCCCAGACACATTTTTAATGACACGGGAAGAAAAACCATGAAAAAAGAAGGTAACCAAACAGGGTGTATGGTACAGTCATCCCTTGGTAGCCAGGACCCTCCCCCACAGATAACAAAATCCACAATGCTCGAGCCCCAGATATAAAATGGTGTAGTATTTGTGTATAACCTACACACACTCTCCCATACACTTAAATAATCTCTAGACCACTTATAATACCTAATACAATGTAAATGCTATGTCAACAGTTGTGACTCTATTGTTTAGGGAACAATGACAAGAAGAAAAGTCTGTCCATGTTCAGTACAGACACAATCCCTCATTTTTTTCTCCTCAACTATTTTTGACCCGCAGTTGGTTGAGCCACAAATGCAGAATCCATGATTATGGAGATATACACATAACTGAATTCATTATATATGCAATAAATAGATCTCAAAACATATATATGTTCTGTTTACATACGCACACAGGAAAGACTGGCAGGAAATATACCAACAGTCTCTAAATGGGGAATTATGAATTAGGGATGTGTTTTTCTGGTTGACCATAATACATATTCATTATAAACATTTTAGACAACTGGGGCGGTACTATGGATCGGCTCAAGCGTTCTTCATTCTACCCTCTTCCTATGGCACCTGTTGAAAAGCCTGAAATCCTGCTCCCCAGACAACACTGTAGCTAGAGTTGCAGCAAATGAGGGTCGGTCACCTGGATGTGCTTTGCAACACCTGGAAGGTGGAAGGGAGACAAAGGTTTCCAGCGCTTTCTGCAGATGTGAGGCTCTCTGCGGTGGCACCCCAGAGCCTGCTCTTCAGTGTCCAAGGTATTTCTGGATGGTTTTGGAAGCCAGACTCCAAGTTCCCAGACCTGGTGTCCTGCTTATGGGGTGTTCAGAGGCAGCTGCAGAAGTAGCTTCTGATCCTGAATCACAGCGACTCGTGGTGTGTCCTGAACCTAACAGCTCCAGGCTGGACTCAAGGGAGCAGCTCCCCTGCAGGGCAGTTCTCTTATCTGGAGACCAGCCTGAAGCTGCGCCTCAGCCTTTCTCAGAACCTAGAAGTTTCCAGACTAAAACACCTGGAGTGGTCTCTGTTTTTTACACCGAACCCCAATTCATATAGGTACACAATAAAACTTAGGGGTTATGATTGCCTTAAAGTGTTCTCGTACTTCTAAAATTCCTGAATTTTTCACAAATCATTGTTAAATCATTAAAAAGGGTATTTTTAAATAATCACTATAAAAACGATTTAATAAATGGGAAATGCTTATAATATCATGTTAAGGGAACAAAAGAGATTATGAAAGAGAAGCTAAATATTTACAGTAGCAGCAAAATACCTAGAAAAAAACTTTATAAGATACATGTAAAAAGCTACTGAATGGTACATAAAGGACTCAAAGAGAAAGACACTCTGTGATTATGGTAGGAAGACTCAGCCTGCAAAATGGCAGCTCTCTCTATGTCATTAGAGAAATGTAGCGTGATCCAAATAAAGATTTGAAGTTTTTTTTCCTCAATAAATTGATCCTAAAAGTCAGGTGGAAAATAAACATGAATCCAAACAATGGAATATTATTTGACCATAAAAAGGAAAGAAGTACTGATGCCTGCTACAGCATGGATGAACCTTGAAAATACGGTGCTCAGTGAAAGAAAACAGACACAAAAGGCCACACGTTGTGTGATTCCATTTAAACAAAATGCCCAGAATAGGCAAATCCATAGAGACAGCGGATCAGTGGTTGCTTTGGCTGGGAGCTGGGGAGTAGGGAACGCAGAGGTGATGTCCAGTGGGTTCAGGGTCTCTTCTGGGGGGTGAAAATGTTCTAAAATTGATTGTGGTGACAGCTGCACAACTCTGAATATTCTAAAACACACTTAAGTGTGGACTTCAGAATAAGTGAACTGTATGGTATGTAAATTATATCTCAATAAAGCTAATACCACAAATAAATAAATACATCTGAAATAATAGCCAGGAAAACACTGACAAATAAGGGCAAGAAGGTAGGGGAGAGGCAGTGCCTGGCACTACCGGATATTCAAACAGATTATAAAAACTAAATAACTAAAACAATTTGATACTGTATGCAAACAGACAGCTACATAGAAGTACTAGAATAGGAAAATATGGAAATAGACAAAATACATATGGGAATTAAGTATATGATAAAGGTAGCATTTCAAACCATGTGGAAAAGATGGATACTATTATATGGTGTTGAGACAGCTGTGTAGGAAAGTAGTGTTGGATCCATACCTCACACCTTACATCAGCATAAATTCCCAAAAGATCATATTTGAAATTCTGAATATGAAAACAAAACCATAAAAGTACTAAAATAAAATATGGAAGAATACTTTCACCTCTTCAGAAAAGGGAAAGCTTTTCAAATTATGACTCAAAGTCCAGAAGTCAGAAAAAGAAAGAATAAAGTTGACGCTGCAACTTTACATGGCAAAATGAGTAAACAAATAAAAACATGTCAGATCTAAGCCAAGTCAAAAGATAAACTATTAGATAGGAAAAAAACCCAAAATTTATTTTTGAGTCAGAGTCTCACTCTGTCACACAGGCTGAGACGCAGTGGCACGCTCATGGCTCACCACAGCCCTGACCTGCCAGGCTTAGGTGATCCTTGCACCTCAGTATTCCAAGTAGCAGGAACTACAGGCACGTGCCACCATGCCCAGCTAATTTTTTAAAAAAATTATTGTAGAGAGGCGATCTTGCCATGTTGTCCAGACTGGACTCAGGCAATCCTCTTGCCTTGGCCTCCCAAAATGCTGGGATTACAGGCATAAGCCACCACGCACAGTCAAAATATTTTCAACTTACACCACAGACAAGGGGTTAATTTCCTAATAATTTAAAGGAGTTCCTTGAGAAAGATCAACCCCAACAGAAAAATGGGCAAAAGATTTGAATAATTAGAGAAAAAAATGCCATCTAAATAGATGAAACTCAACCTCATTTATAAGAAAAATGCAAATTAGAACTACAGTGAGTTTTTTTTAAACCTAGAAAACTGGCAAAAATCCAAATTTTGATAGCAAACTCTGCTGGCAAGGTTGTAGGGAGTTTTCTCACACATCGGTATTCTGGAGAGTGTGCCATGGTGTGACTCATATGAGGATGACTTGGTAGCTTCTATCACAACTACAAACAAACCTTTTGATCTAGCAATTCCACTTTTGGAATTGTTTTGTGTTTGCAAGTGTGCAAATGTATCTATATGTTCATAGCAGCACTGCTTCTAAGAGCTAAAGATTAGAAATATCCTCAGCCGGGCTCGGTGGCTCAGCCTGTAATCCCACGCCTTTGGGAGGCTGAGGTGAGTAGACTGCCTGAGCCCGCAAGTTCGAGACCCGCCTGGGCAACTTGGCGAGACCTCATCTCCACAGTAAATCAAAAAAAATTAGCCAGGTGTGGTAGTGCGCACCTGTAGTTCCAACTACTTGGAAGACTGAGGCGGAAGGATCGCCGAAGCCCAGCAGGTCGAGGCTGTGGTGGCCGGGAGCGGCCACTGCACTCCAGTCTGGGTGACAGAGTGAGACTCCAACTCAGAAAAAAAAAAAAAAAGGAACCCTGAGTCCCGAGTGCCAATCAACTAGACGATGTTAAAACAAATTATAGCCCATCCATATGACCACAGAATGGAACTATATGTGACTATAATAATGAGGGTGGTATCTTTGTATTGATATCAACCAAATCAATCAAGATATATTAAGTTATGCCCAAATTTTAAAAAAGCAAGGTATAGAACATTATGTGTAATATGCCACTGTTTGTGTTTAAAAACAGGCGTAGGCTGGGCACAGTGGCTCACACCTGTAATCCCAGAATTTAGAGAGTCTAAGGCAAGAGGACTGCTTGAGCCCAGGAGTTCGACACTAGCCTAGGCAACAGTTCTTCGCTATAAAAAATTAGCTGGGCATGGTGGTGCATGCCTCTAGTCCCAGTTACTTAGGAGGCTGAGGTGGAAGGATCACCTGAGCCCAGAAGGTAGAGGCTACAGTGAGCTGGTTCACCTGAGCCCAGAAGTAGAGGCTTCAGTGAGCTGTGAGTGTGCCACTGTACCCCAGTCTGGGTGACAGAGTGAGAATCTGACTCAAAAAATAAAATAAAAATAAAAAAACAAGTGTAAAATAAGCCTCTATCTGCTTTTATTTGTATGTGCATACAGGAGCTCCAGAAAGATCCATAAGCACTAAGCACAGTGCTGATGAATAATAAGGGAGGGGTCGTTCTACTGAATAGTTAGTTTTGGGTTCTAGCCATGTGAATGTCATACCTATTCCTAAAATCAAGAACTTAAATAAACAAAAACAAAACAGAGAGGAAAAAGGTGGCCATGCCGTGAGATTTACATCTGCTTCTGGGCAGAGTCTAGAATGGAAGAGGGAAGAACGGACAGCTTCCAGAGTTGAGAGGAGACTCTATTCTTATACTTTGGTTTGTTCAAGAAGTAAACATACAAAAAAACACAAACAAACCAAAAAACCCCAAGTAAGCTTCCCCAGCCACGGCAGAGTTGCTTCAGGACTTTGGTTAGGCACGAATGCACACTCAAGTGAGCAGGGCCTGGGTTCCCGGGTGGGCGCTGGGTGCCCACTCACCCTCCCCTGGCCAGGGGCCTCCTCTGTCCAGTGCAGCTGGCCTTCTGCTGGACGCCCTTCCATGCCCACCAGGGCTGAGACTTGCTGAGAAGAGAAAGCTCGTGGAGAAAACTCACCGTTTTCTTCATCTTTTCCACGAAGCTGCTCTCTTTGACAGAGGAGGTCCTGAAAAACAAAAGCGTCCGGTGGGTGTGGGGTGCAGCTATTATGGAT